AAAAAAAAAAATCAATGTTTTAGTTTCTGAATTGAGTAAATCAACAAAATAAATGATAATTTCAACTAGTTTTCGCAATATAAAATGAATAATGATTTTGTCATGGATAATATGATTTTGTATATTTAAGAGAATTTTTAAAAATTTAATTTACCATCAATACATTATATACAAATTTTGAGATTTGAAATAATATCGTATTCTACTTTAGTATTTAATTGAGTTGAAATGTAATACCGTAAGTTATTTTATGGTTTGTTGTTCATATTTTTTTTTTATTTTATGGTTTGTTGTTCATATTTTCTTTAATTTAAATGGAAACTGGTTTTACTGTTTTAATAGTAATCTAGTGTTGAATCCTTAAAAAAAATTTATACTTGGAAATGTTTTGTATAAATTGGTGAAATTTTTTTCTATAATAGTTTGCCCCCTCCAATGGGAAATTCTGCTCCGCCCCTCTACTTCTTTCTCAATTCCAATGTCATTGCATCTCCACCAACCACACTGATAGCACCACTCCACCCAATCCTAATGATGCACAAATTGGTATCGCGCAAAATCAATAGTCAAGTGTATGAATGGGTACAATTAATGAGTAGTAAAAATATAATTAATGGCAAAACAATGAATAATAGCAAACACAAATATTTATAGTGGTTCGGTCCAGGTGGCCGGAGATCTTTATTTATGAATAAAAGTCACCGGGAGAGTTACACTGCTTTGGGAGAAAAAGAGCAATGTGCAGAAAGGTGTGTGATGCCCAGATGTCTTTTCTTGTGGAGAGAGCTTACATTATATAGGCTTAGCAAAGCGATGAGGCGGTGACGTGAGAGAGAGTGCTTCTACTCTTTTGGTACGATTAAGGTAAGATTACATCTCCGTGCGTATCCCGATATTCTCTCCCTCGTGCTCCTATTCAGTTGAAAGAGGATCCTGAACTGGGTTGGGCTTAATCTTGAGCCTAAACTTGAGTTGGAGTGGGCAAAACTTGAATTGGAGTAGCAAAGAAAAGAGGGCGAAGGAGGAACAGGGCCAGTCCTTGGGCAGCGCCCTTTGGTGCTTCTCTTGGGCGTTGGCTCCTTGATTTCCCTCTGCGTCTGATGAGTTAGGCTCCCTTTTGGATACTGATCATTTGGGCCTTTCTTGATTTATTTAAATTTGGCCTGACCTAGTTAATTTTGGGCTCATCATTTGCCCCCCATGCTCCAAGCCTCTGACTTTTTGTAAAAAGAAAGGGTTGAGGGCATGTGCTTCGTCTTTATCTGAGTGAACATAAGTTTTTTTCTTCTCCATAGGACCCTTTCATCCTCAATGACTTGCTGAATTTATCGATATTATATATATATTTTACATCGCTCTTGCTGGGTCTTCGTCTATAAATTGCTAGTCATGGTCTCTCATTCCTCATCCTTCATTTCCTATTTATTGGAGGCTTCTCTTAGAAGCTATTCTTACAAGCTTCTCCAGGAAGCTATTCGACCAAGCTTCTTCAAGAAGCTACACTTCTTCTATTTAAAGGCTCTTCAAGGTTTAATGTTCATCTCTCATCTTTCTCCTTACTTCCATTTCTCTCATTTGGTTTTCTCTCTTATTACTCAAATCAAAATCATGGAGACGAGGAGTTCGAAGAAAACGAGCGAAATGGCAAAGAGCTCAAGAGAGTTAGATTGGAGGCCGGGTGGCGCCAATGGCCAGGTGGGTGGCGCCCATGCCTTGGGCGACACCGGGCGTGATGCAGGTAGTGGGGTACTTGAGCGTGGCATGGAGCAGAAAGTGAGAATAGTACCAAGGGGCTTGGGTGACCCCCCCTTGGGACATTGGTCACTTGGGTATTTCTCCTAATGGTAGTCTTGATGAAGCCCCTACAAATAGTGAGAGGCCCTTTAGGATTCTTGGCGTAAGATTAGGCTTAGGCAAGGAGACTTCGAACAACCCTTTCCATTTTACGGGAAGTGCCTAAGGCGTTGGGGAGCTGCAAGGAGAGGTGTCAACAGAGACAAGCAATTGTCATGATCTGGGCAGTGCCCCAGGCACCCCAGACGTGGTTCAGTCTTCCCTTCGTGAGGCCAGGAAGCAGTCGATCAACGATTTGGACAAAACAAGCTTTCGAGGTATGTTTCCCGGTATTATTTTTTTACTCCTCCGCAGTCATAGATACTTTCCTTAGCAATGGCTTAACTTTGTTTTTGGTGGGTGTTCATTCAGGCGAGCAGGAGACTGCTGGGGATCCTGAGGGAAGTCCGAGTACTGATGGAGGCAGCGGCTCTAAGGTAGCCTCTACATTCAGCTCCCTTTACTGTGATGAAGATATTTCAACTATAGTTGCCTTGTATCGCATTCCACCTTCTATGATAAGTTGTCATGTCGAGGCTGACGAGTCAGCGTGCTGTGATTCTTTGGACGAGATCGTCCTTTATGAGGGTACATTGGTGACAGGCTTGCGGTTTTTGATACTTGGGCCCATATTTCGGGTTCTGGGGCATCTATTGTTGGTTCCTGGGAGACTAGCTCCAAATGGGTGGA